TCCCCGGCATTCCCGCTGGGTCCGTGGCGCTGACTTGGCGGGCTGGCTGCCGAGGCCGGGGTGCTGCGCGTGGCCGTGGGCGTGGGCGCCGGGCGCGGATTTGAATGCCATGGGGCACACGGGGCACTTGTGGAACACCTCGCAGTGCGAGCCCTGGATGTGCGCCTTGATGGAGCCGACGCCGCCGAACACCACCGAGCAGCTGGGGCACCTGGCAATCCCGTGGGAACGCCCATGGATCCGGGAATTCCCAATGGGAACGGCCATGGATCCGGGAATTCCAACGGGGACCGCCATGGGTCCGGGAATTCCCAATGGGGACCAGCATGGGTCCGGGAATTCCCAATGGAAACCGCCATGGATCTGGGAATTCCCAATGGGGATCGGCATGGATCCGGGAATTCCCAATGGAAACCGCCATGGATCCGGGAATTCCCAATGAGGACCAGCCATGGATCCGGGAATTCCCAATGGGGACCGGCATGGGTCCGGGAATTCCCAATGGGGACCGGCATGGATCCAGGAATTCCCAATGGAAACCGCCATGGGTCCGGGAATTCCAATGGGGACCGGCATGGATCCGGGAATTCCAACAGGGACCGGGACCCAGAGCGGATCCAGGAATTCCCAATGGAAACTGGGATGCTGAGCAGCTCTGGGAATTCCCAATGGAAACCAGGATCCAGAGCCACTCCAGGAATTCCGAATGGAAAGCGGGATCCAGAGTGGCTCCGGGAATTCCAACTGGGGACCGGCATCCAGAGCAGTTCTGGGAAAATTCCAACTGGAACCGGGATCCCAAACAAGCTTTCCCAGATTTCTGGGGTTCCCGGGCCGTACCTGCATCCCACCCTGAGGAGCCCTCGCGGCGGCAATTCCAAGTTTTCCAGCAGGAGATTCCTGCTGCGCTCCGTGGGCAAACCCCATTTCAGGACCCCCCCAGTTCCCCCTCTGGAATTCCCGGGATTCCCGGGATTCCCGGGGCTCTGGGCCATACCTGCATCCCACCCTGAGGAGCCCTCATGGTGGCAATTCCAAGTTTTCCAGCAGGGAATTCCTGCCGTGCTCCGTGGGCAAACTCCATTTCTGGATCCCCCCAGTTCCCCCTCCGGAATTCCCGGGATTCCCGGGATTCCCGGGCCGTACCTGTAGCCCACCCTGAGGAGCCCTCGCGGCGGCAATTCCAAGTTTTCCAGCAGGGAATTCCTACCATGCTCCCTGGGCAAACCCCATTTCGGGACCCCCCCAGTTCCCCCTCTGGAATTCCCGGGATTCCCGGGATTCCCGGGATTCCCAGGATTCCCGGGCCGTACCTGCATCCCACCCTGAGGAGCCCTCGCGGCGGCAATTCCAAGTTTTCCAGCAGGGAATTCCTGCCGCGCTCCTTGGGCACACTCCATTTCTGGATTCCCCCAGTTCCCCCTCTGGAATTCCCGGAATTCCCGGGATTCCCGGGATTCTGGGCCGTACCTGCATCCCACCCTGAGGAGCCCTCGCGGTGGCAATTCCAAGTTTTCCAGCAGGGAATTCCTGCCGTGCTCCGTGGGCAAACTCCATTTCGGGACCCCCCCAGTTCCCCCTCTGGAATTCCCGGGATTCCCGGAATTCCCGGGATTCCAGGGATTCCCGGGGCTCTGGGCCGTACCTGCATCCCACCCTGCGGAGCCCTCGCGGTGGCAATTCCAAGTTTTCCAGCAGGGAATTCCTGCTGCGCTCCGTGGGCAAACCCCATTTCTGGACCCCCCCCGTTCCCCCTCGGGAATTCCCGGGATTCCCGGGATTCCCGGGATTCCCGGGCCGTACCTGTAGCCCACCCTGCGGGAGAAGTGCAGGCAGGAGTCCCGGAGGTGGCTCTGGAAGTTGGCCAGCAGGAAGTTGCCGCCGCACTCGGGGCAGACGTGCGGCGGGCGGCTGCGGTGCATGCGCTGGTGCGCGCCGAAGCTGCAGCGGTTGGGCAGCATCATGGGGCACGCCGAGCACACCTGCGGGCGGGCACCGCGGCTCACCGGGGGCACCGGGGGCACCGGGGGCACCGGGGGCACCGGGAGGGACTGGGAGGGACCGGGAGGGAACTGGGATGGACTGGGAGGGACTGGGAGTCACCGGGAGGGACTGGGAGTCAGCGGGGGCACCGGGAGGGACTGGGAGGGACTGGGAGGGACTGGGACTCACCGGGGGCACCGGGAGGGACTGGGACTCACCGGGAGGGACTGGGAGTCACCAGGGGCACCGGGGGCACCGGGAGGGACTGGGACTCATTGGGGGCACCGGGGCTCACCGGGAGGCACCAGGAGGGACCAGGAGGGACTGGGAGGGACCGGGGGCACCGGGAGGGACCGGGATGGACTGGGAGAGACTGGGAGTCACTGGGAGGCACCGGGACTCACTGGGGGCACCGGGGCTCACCGGGGGCACCGGGAGGAACTGGGAGTCACCGGGGGCACCGGGACTCACCGGGGGCACCGGGAGGGACCGGGAGGGACCGGGAGGGACTGGGAGGGACTGGGAGGGACCGGGAGGTGCCGGGGGCACCGGGAGTCACTGGGGGCACCAGGGGCACTGGGAGGGACTGGCAGGGACCAGGAGACACCGGGGGCACCGGGGGCACCGGGAAGCACCGGGGGCACCAGGAGTCACCAGGAAGGACTAGGAGGGACCGGGAGTCACCAGGGGCACCGGGGACACCGGGAGGCACTGGGAGGGACCGGGAAGGACTAGGAGGGACCGGGAGGCACCGGGAGGCACCGGGAGGCGCAAGGGGCACCGGGGGCACCACCGGGGCTGGGAACGGCGTCCCCCCCGCCCGGGGGCGGCTCCGCCAGGGAACAGGGCTGGAACGGGGCTGGGGTCCTGGGAATTCCAGCTGGGATTGGGATCCCAAGGAATTCTGGGAGAATTGCGACTGGGATTGGGATCCCAAGGAATTCTGGGAGAATTCCAACTGGGATTGGGATCCCAAGGAATTCTGGGAGAATTCCAGCTGGGATTGGGATCCCAAGGAATTCTGGGAGAATTCCAACTGGGATTGGGATCCCAAAGAATTGTGAGCAAACTCTGCAGGGATCAGGATCAGTTGTGGGAAAATTCCAGCAGGGATCAGGATCCCAACCAGGGAGAATTCCGCAAGGATCAGGATTGACGGGAGGGGATGCACGGATTCATCTCCCACCGTTTCCCAGTGTCTTCCCAGTGTCTTCCCAGTGCCTTCCCAGTGCTTTCCCAGTCCCTCCCAGTGCCCTCCCAGCACATCCCAGTGCTTTCCCAGTGCCTTCCCAGTGCCTTCCCAGTCCCTCCCAGCACATCCCAGTGCCTTCCCAGTGCCTTCCCAGTCCCTCCCAGCACATCCCAGTGCCCTCCCAGTGCCTTCCCAGTGCCCTCCCAGTGCCTTCCCAGTGCCCTCCCAGTGCCTTCCCAGTGCCTTCCCAGTGCTTTCCCAGTGCCTTCCCAGTCCCTCCCAGCACATCCCAATCCCCTCCCAGTCCCTCCCAGTGCCCTCCCAGCACATCCCAGTCCCTCCCAGTGCACTNGCACATCCCAATCCCCTCCCAGTCCCTCCCAGTGCCCTCCCAGCACATCCCAGTCCCTCCCAGTGCACTCCCAGCACATCCCAGTGCCTTCCCAGCCCTTCCCAGTCCCTCCCAGCACATCCCAGTGCCCTCCCAGTGCCCTCCCAGCACATCCCAGTGCCTTCCCAGCACATCCCAGTCCCTCCCAGCACATCCCAGTGCCCTCCCAGCCCTTCCCAGTGCTTTCCCAGCCCTTCCCAGTCCCTCCTAGCACATCCCAATCCCCTCCCAGTCCCTCCCAGCCCTTCCCAGTCCCTCCCAGCACATCCCAGTCCCTCCCAGCACATCCCAATCCCCTCCCAATCCCCTCCCAACCCTTCCCAGTCCCTCCTAGCACATCCCAATCCCCTCCCAGTCCCTCCCAGCCCTTCCCAGTCCCNTCCCCTCCCAGTCCCTCCCAGCCCTTCCCAGTCCCTCCCAGCACATCCCAGTCCCTCCCAGCACATCCCAATCCCTCCCAGTCCCTCCCAGCACATCCCAGTCCCTCCCAGCACATCCCAATCCCCTCCCAGCCCCTCCCAGCACATCCCAATCCCCTCCCAGCACATCCCAGTCCCTCCCAGCACATCCCAGCCCCTCCCAGCACATCCCAATCCCCTCCCAGCACATCCCAATCCCCTCCCAGCCCTTCCCAGTCCCTCCCAGCACATCCCAATCCCCTCCCAGCCCCTCCCCGCTCTCACCGTGCTGCTGCTGCCGGTGGCCACGGCGACCTGCTGGAAATGCGCCGCCAGCCCGGCCTTGTCCTTGCACTGCTCCTTGCACTCGAGGCACCTGAAGCAGCTGTAGCTGCTCTGCTCGGCGCCCAGCGGCAGCACCGGCGGCTCCTGCGCCGCGCCGCCGCCGTCCTGCGCCGCCTTGGCGGGCGGCAGGGCCAGCGAGGCCAGCGGGGCGACGTCGGGCTGGCCGATCATCTGCTCCAGCGCCACGGGCCGCATCACCAGGTGCGAGCACTGCATCACCAGCCCCTTGTCCTTGTGCTCGCGGGCGTGCAGCAGCAGGCTGCACTTGTTGAAGAACACCAGGCGCTTGGTGCAGTGGTTGCAGGTGACCTCGATGCGCATGCTGCGCCGGTCGTAGTGCCGCGCCAGGCTCTTCTCCAGCGCGAAGGCGTCGCCGCACTCCAGGCAGCGGTAGCCGGCGGGCGGCAGCGCCAGGCTGGACTCGGCCGGCGGGCTCAGGTTGGGCTTGTAGGTGGGCAGCAGGTTCTTGCTGTTGAGGATCTTGTTGAAGGCCTCCACCAGGCTGGACTGGCTGCGGGAGATGACGGTGCCGGCCACGCCGGGCGCCGCTTTGGGCGCCGCCGCGCCGCCGCCGGCCTTGGCGCCGCCGTCCCCCTTGGGGAGCGGCTGCGGCACCAGGCTGAGGATGTTTTTAGCCACGGATTTCCCGGATTTTCCCGGCAGGACCACGGATTTCTGCTGGGCCACGCTGGCGGCGATCAGCATGGCGCTGCTGGCGCTCTGGATGGTGGCCACGGGCAGCACGGTGCCCTTCAGCCTGGCGCCGTTGCCCAGCTGCACGCTGACGATCTTGGGCCCCTCCGCGCCCTTCGGGGGCCCGCAGAGCTCCGAGCGCTCCCGGGCCGCCTCCGCCGCGCCGCCGGCCGGGCATTCCGAGGGCTCCTGGGAATTCTGCTCGCCGGGGGCTCTGGCGGAGGGCGGCTCCGAGTCCGAGGACACCCTGGTGACCGTCCGGGTGATGCTGCCGCAGGAGGTTTTGATGGTTTTGATGCGCACCTTGAGCGGCCGCGAGGAGCTGGAGGACGGCGAGTTGGCGTTCTCCTCCTCCTCCTCGTCCTCCTCGCCGCTGGAAACGCTCGGAGGGCTCCCCAGGGATTTGCCCAGCATCTCCCGCTCTTCCTTCAGGGACAGCTGCCTGGGGGAGGGCGGGATGGCAATTCCCGGGGAGGAGAAGGGCTCCCGAGGGCTCCCGGGCGAGCGCTTGAGCTCGGCCGCGGCGCCGGTGCCGCCGTCCGGCAGCGCCGGCTCGGCCGCCGGCCAGGGAGATCCCTCGGCCGAGAAGCGGACGGTGACGGACTTGAGGTGATCCAGCAGCAGCCCCTTGGGGCCGCAGCCCCTGGCCGGAGCCTCCTCCGCGTCCGCCTCCTCCTCCTTGACGCGGGCCGCGCCGTGCGCGCCGTCGCCGGCCGCTCCCGCCCGGAAGGGCGCCGGGAACGCCGGCTCGGCGTGCCGCAGCCCCGGGCTCTCCGCGCCCTGCCCCAGGGGCTCCTTGCAGTCCAGGGCCGGGCCGGCCGGCGACTTCTCCTTGGCTTTGTCGTCGATGAGATCGGCGCCGTCCTCGCCGGGATCGGGGCTGAAATGGGAGAACAGCTCCAGCGCCTTGGGATTCTTCTCCTTGGCCCAGCAGTCGCCGTTGGAAGCGGCGTCGGCGGCACCGGGCGAGCGGGGCGCGTCGGGGGCGCCGAAGCCGTTGTGCAGCAGGCGCGGCGCGGCGCCGTGCCCGTCCTTGCCGCGCGGCTCGGCGCCCTCGGGCTGCTCGGGGCACACGGTGTTCTTGACGATGACGCTGACGGCCGAGATGTCGGCGTGCGGCAGCGCGTGCTCCGGTGCCGGCGCCGCCGCGCCCGGCTCGCCCGGCAGCGGCTTGGCGTGCGCCTCGGGCTCCTCGTGGTGCGCGTGGATGGCCTCGTTGGCGTCGATGTCGGGGATGTCGAAGGCGGCCAAGAGGTCGTCGAAGTCCGGGGTCTTCATGTCCCCCATGGCTGGCAACGGGAAAGGGGTGCAGGGAATTCGGGGTTTCCCACTGGGAATTCCCGGGTTTCCATCCCGACAAACCCCGGGGAATCCTGATGTTCCTTTGGGGTTTCCACCCCGACAAACCCCAGGGAATCCTGATGTTCCTTTGGGGTTTCCCACTGGGAATTCCCGAGTTTCTATCCTGACAAACCCCAGAGAATCCTGATGTTCCTTTAGAGTTTCCCACTGGGAATTCCCGGGTTTCCATCCCAACAAACCCCGGGGGATCCTGATGTTCCTTTGGGGTTTCCCATTAGGAATTCCCGGGTTTCCATCCCAACAAACACCAAAGGAATCCGGATGTTCCTTTGGGGTTTCCCTGTAGGAATTCCTGGGTTTCCATCCCAACAAACCCCAGGGGATCCTGATGTTCCTTTGGGGTTTCTCAGTGGGAATTCCCGGGTTTCCACCCCGACAAACCCCGGGGGATCCTGATGTTCCTTTGGGGTTTCCCATTAGGAATTCCCGGGTTTCCATCCCGACAAACCCCGGGGAATCCTGATGTTCCACAGCCTTTTCCATTCCCACTCCCACTCCAAACGTTCCTCTCCACCCCAAAAATTCCCCCTTTTAGCCCAAAAATCCCCCTCCCATCCCAAAAATCCCCTTCCCACCCCAGCCCTGCTGCCGGTCCATCCCCTAAATTCCCGGAACTGCCGGGAAAGCCGCAGGATCCGAGCCCACCCCGGCAATTCCGGCCCCATCCCAGCTCAATCCCAGCCCTGTTCCCGACCTGGAGCCGGGCCCAGGACCTGCCACATCCCGGGCACAACAATTCCCGTTATCCCCTGGAATCCCGGCACTTCCAGCAGCCCCGGGAGCTCCAAGGATTTTTTGTTTCTTTAGGGAAAAAATTCCTTTCATGAGGAGGGGTTTTGATCCCACGGTTTTCCAGCTTGGAAACTGGGAAAAAGGGGAAAGAGCCGTGGATCCAACCTCAATTCCAGCCCCAAACTGCCTCTGGATCTGAGGCTCCCAGGAAACCCCAAGCAGGTGGGATTCCATTCATTTTCCCTCTGGAATGTGCCTGGGGATGGGAGAGGCCTTTTCCTTCCCAAATCCCCCTTTTCCTGCCCTTTCATCCCCTGGAAAGCCTCCCCAGGCAGGGAATGAATCCTTTGGAAAAGCTGGGAATTGTCTTCCAGGGGGGGAATCGCGCTCTTTGTCCTTTCCCATTCACATCCAAATCCTCGGGATGGATCCCGGATTTCCCCACCCCGACTCCCGGATCCCGATCCCGGCTTCTTCCTGGGGATAAACCCAGCCAGGCCTGGAAAATCCGGGAGGAGCTGTTTGGGATCAGGGTTTGGAAAATCCTGCCCGGCTCAGTTCGCCAGGGAAAAGGAGGCGGGGAAAGCAGGGAGGGATTATCCCAAAATTCCACCTGTGGCAAATTCCAAACCGACCCCAAATCCCCGATCCCAAATCCCCGATCGCCCCAAAAGCCCCGTCCCGCTCCCGCCCCCATCCCCGCAGCCGGGATTAAATTCCCGGGATTTGGAGGGAATTAATTCCCGGCCATCTGCCGGCCCCGATCCCGAGGGATCCCGAAAATCCCGAAAGGAAAAAGAACAGCTCCAGCCCCGCCAGGAGGGCTCGGCATTCCCGATTTTCTCGGCATTCCCGATTTTCCCAGGATTCCCAAAAGGGCTGGGGGCATCCGGGCAGGGATTCCGTGGGATTTCGGGGTTTTCCCAAATATCCAGGATCCCAAAGCCCCTATCCCAGTCTCAAGCTTCCAATCCCACATTCCCCATCCCGGTCCCAAAGTCCCCATCCCAAACTGCCCATTCCCACCCCAAACTCCCCCACACCGATCCCAAATTCCCCAAAATTCCAGGATGGAGGGGATGGCCGTGACCTCTCCCAATCCCAGGATTTGGGATGGGGAAGGACTGACCGTGACCCCCCAGAATTTCAGGATGGGGGGGATGATCCCAATCCCCACAAATCCCGGGGTATTTTTTGTAGGAAAACGTGAGCATGACCCCCCCAAATCCCGGGATATGGGATGGGAGAGGGGGGGCTCCAGACCTCCCCAAATCCCGGGATTTGGGATGGGAGGGAGGAGCTCCAGACCCCCCCAAAATCCCGGGATATGGGATGGGAGGGGGTGACCGTGACCCCCCCAAAATCCCGGGATATGGGATGGGAGAGGGGGGAGCTCCAGACCCCCCAAAATCCCGGGATTCGGGATGGGAGGGGGGGGGCTCCAGACCCCCCAGAATCCCGGGATTTGGGATGGGAGGGGGTGACCGTGACCCCCCAGAATCCCGGGATTTGGGATAGGAGGGGGGAGCTCCAGACCTCCCCAAATCCCGGGATTTGGGATGGGAGGGGGTGACCGTGACCCCCCAAATCCCGGGATTTGGGATGGGAGAGGGGGGACTCCAGACCCCCCCAAATCCCGGGATTCGGGATGGGAGGGGGTGACCCTGACCCCCCAGAATCCCGGGATTTGGGATGGGAGGGGGGCTCCGGAACCCCCAGAATCCCGGGATTCGGGATGGGAGGGGGGGGCTCCGGACCCCCCCAGAATCCCGGGATTCGGGATGGGAGGGGGGGGCTCCAGACCCCCCAGAATCCCGGGATTTGGGATGGGAGGGGGGGGCTCCAGACCCCCCAGAATCCCGGGATTCGGGGCCCCCTCAGGCCGCGCTTCCCGCCCGGGCCTCGCCCCCCCCAGGCCCCGACCCCCTCAGGCCGCTCGGGCCCCGCTACCTGCGGCGGGCGCGGGGCGCGCTCCCGCGGCCGGCTCCGGCTGCCGGGCCCGATTCCGGTCCCGGTCCCAATTCCCGATCCCGATCCCGATCCCGGTTCCCGGTTCCCGGCCCGGTCCCGCTCGGGCCCCTCAGCGCCGCCGCTTCCCCTCCGCCACTTCCTGCTTGGCCCCCCCCGCCCCGCCGGCCGCTCGCGCCGCGCGGCCCCGCCCCCGCGGCGCGTTCCCATTGGCCGCACGGCCCGTCACTCAACAAAACCCACATTTCGATTGGTTCGTTCCGCTGTCGCTCAATGCTAAGCGCGGCCGTCCGCACTCCCCATTGGCTGAGCGGGACCCGCCCCACGCCGGGCGTGTTGATTGGGAAGCGCGGGTGTCATTCAACCCGCAAAGCCCCGCCCACCGCGAGGTCCTCGTTTCCTATTAAATGCCAGCGCTGGCGCATCTCGCTGCCGATTGGTTGAAAGCGCTGTCTATCAATTAACTCCGGCCTGATCTCGCTTCTCATTGGTCAGAGCGCACTGTTTATCAAGCGCGGCTTCCGGCCGCCATTGGCCTCAGGGAGCGTCCATGGCGGCGTCTCCCAGCCGGGGGTTCCCACTGGCCGCGGGATTCTCCCCTCAGCACCGGAGCCCGCCCACCCCGGGCCCGGAATGACTTCAACCCCCTCCACCCATTAGCTGCCAGCGCCGTCACTCACGGAGGCGTCTGAGGGCATGTCCCGCCCACGCCCCAATGTTGCGCGATACCATTGGTGCATAGAGCTGTCACTCAAGGCCGCCTTTGTCTCTTCGCTCTCCCATTGGCTGGCGTGCCCAAAAGGCCGCCAAGCCAGTTTTCGCCGCTCATTGGTCCGCAGAGCTGCCACTCATATTTAACCCCGCCTTCCTCCCATCGTATTGGCCACCGCAACGACAAGATCCGCCCTTTCCATTCGGTGATTGGTTGATTATTATGTCAATCAACAGTTCGGCCCCGCCCCAGACTGAGGGTAAACAGCGCGCGGGGCATGCCGGGAGCTGCTGCGGGAATTCCCAATTCTCCAATTCCCGGGAATTCCGGGGAATTCCCGCTCCCAGCAACGCCAGCACGGGGAACTGCTGCCATTCCCACAATGCCCGTGAAATCCCTTTGATCACCGCCGCCGTTCCCCGGGAATTCCTTTTATTCCCAAGGAATTCCTTTTATTCCCCAGAAGTCCCCCAAAAATTCCACTTATTCCCTGGCAATCCCATTTATTACCCAAAAATTCCATTTATTCCCCAGAACTTCCATTTATTGCCTGGAAATCCTGTTTATTCCCTGGAATCTCCATTTAATTTCAAGCAATCCCGTTTATTCCCTGGAAATTCCATTTATTTTCAAGAAGCTCCATTTATTCCCTGGAAATTCTGTTTATTCCCCAAAAATTCCTTTTATTCCCCAGAAATTTCTGTTTATTTCCCAGAAATCCCGTTTCTTCTCAAGAAACCCCGTTTACTCCGCGGGGGTTCCGTTGGCTGCGCTCTCATTTCTTGTCCTGCTCCTTGCCCTCGCGGCTCTCCCGGTTTTCCCGGTTTTCCCGGATTTCCCGGTTTTCCCGGTTCTCCCGGTTCTCCCGGCCCTCGGCGCGCGCCGCCTGCGAGGCCAGCGAGCCCATGGCGTTGCGGATGGCCTCGTTGTTGGGGTCCACGCCGGGCAGGTTCTCCAGGACGCTCTGCAGGAACTCGGGGTCCTGCATCACGTCGTAGTCGTCCTCCTCCTGCGGGGGCAATTCCAGGGGGTTTGGGGTAATTCCAGGGGGTTTGGGG